TCTGCTGATATGAGGCCTTGGCTGGCAGCCCACCCTCCAGGACAACCACAGACCTGGGCCACAGAAGCCCTGAGCCCAGCAGGAAGCCCAGACCGAGTCTGGCCGGCCTGGCCTTCTTCCTCCTTCACTGTGGCGCCAAACACAGGGCAGGGGTCTCTCTCAGGTGCACTCACACGCACACTCACATGCATGCACACACATGTACACATGCACATTCACACATGTGCACACATACACACACTGATACACTTGTGCACATGCACACATAACGTACCTTAGTGTGGGACTCAGAGACCTTAGAAAACCTGATCAAAACTTTGGAAAATGCCCCAAAGGCTGACTGGTGACCCTGAGGACATGTGTGTGGTAGACAGTCCCCAGACATGGTTGAGTACCCAGCCGATTGCCGGCACGAACAGGTGAACCCGGTCACTCCCTGGGGTGGGAGCTCTGGGTGTCCTTGGATGGTGACCTTGGCCACGTCCCTCCCGGAACCCTGCTGCTCTCAGACCCTGCCCCCCCGCCCCCGCACGCAGACAGGGCAGATGGCGGGAAGGCCAAGCAAGGCTGAGTGGGGGGGGGGGGGGGCCGTGGCGCAGGACGTGCTCCCGGCCCTCTGTTGTGGGGGGTGCCGGCCTTTCTTCGAGAGCATTGTCTGCCAACGCGGCCTTTGTCCCTGCGGCCTGATAAGACAGGCTCCCAGACACTTTTGCTGGCCCAGCTAAACCTGTGCCACGCTGCCGCTGCCGGGTGTTGGGGAGCCATGGGCTCACCTCAGATGCCAGAGGGGGCTGTTATCAGGATTAATCATTAACCCTTCCCCGCCTGTCAGGACCAGCCCCTGGGGATGAGGGCACCACCCCCAAAATCTGACCAAAGGCAACCCTACAAGGGCTGGAAAGGGCTCCCAGGGTGTGGGCCTGTCCCTGCGGCCACCAGAGTTCGGCCCTGCAGGACCTGGGGCGGGGGGTGGGCAGCCAGGACACAGACAGCAGCACACATATGTGGTGCGCATGTGTGAGTGTATGTGTGCGTGACCATGTGTGAGACTGATCATGTGTGTGAGCACATGAGACTGTATGTGTGTGAAAGCATACACGTGCAGACACTAGGTATCGGCACACGTTTTTATGTGTGTTCGTGTGTACATGTATGTGTGCACATGAGTGTAAGTGTGAGTGTGTAAATCAGCATTCATCGCCTGCCCCATCCACAGCCCTCTGCTAATCTCAGGCACAGAAAGCGCCAAGAACCTTTTAAGTCCCTGATCTGTCCTTCAGGGCTGGGGGACGGGCTGGGGTGGGGGGGGGTGGGGGGGCGGGGTGTGGAACCGCCTGGAATGATCCAATACAGGTTAGTGGCCCCTGCTCAAGACGGGGCTCTTGGGCCAACAGGTCCATGATGCCACCTTGTGGTGGTGAAGGGAAGTTAAGGCACAGGTGCTGCTTCAGCCCAGAACACCTTACAAAGGCATGCTGGGAAAACCCGGTCCAGGAGGACCCCTACCCTGTCCCTACCCCGTCACGAACAGCCCCTCTCACACACGCCATGTTCCAGCTCCAGACGCCGGATGTGGCCCATCCCAGGCCTAGCGGCCTCTCCAGGGCGCTGCCCGCCTATGCCGGGGCCTCGGCCCCACCTGAATCCGACTGCTAACTCCCAGCTGCGGAGGCGCCGTGGCACCCTTTCTGAGTTCCACTTGGCTCTCGTCCAGGCCCTTTCTCCACTGCTGCACTGTGAAAAAGGCTTGCCACCATGCCTGGCTGGAGGGAAGCGGCATGTCACCTGCTAGGACAGCCACCAGCATGGCCGGTGTCAGATGGCCACCGCGGCAGCGGCTACAGTCGGTGTGGGCCAGCTGTGAGCAGTGGGTCCAGCGGCACTGCCCACAACTACCGATCCGCCAGGAGGAGCAGCACTGGTGGGTGCTCAGCAGGATGGACGAGCAGTGTGGACCCGAGCGTGGCTGAGAAACAGCTCCAGACAGCGGCGGGCACCACTGTCAGGTGAAAGGTGGAGGCGCCCCAACGGAGCAGCCAGGGGTAAGCATCTCCGGTGATCAGGGCTCAGGCCTCGTGAATAAACGACAATCAGGCAGAACAGAACAAAGCCAGTGATGGGCTCAGCCAGGGAGCGCCGGCTCATCAGACAGGGTGAAGAGCACAGGTTTGAGGGCTCAGGGACTGAGAAGGACGCTGTGAGGGGAGCCGGGAGTGAACCACCACTGCCCAGAGCTCACTGCTGACAGATTCTCATCCAGAAAAGCAACACGAATGGTCTGGCTCGCTGGAGACACGTGCTTTATAGACCTCGTGTGCAACACTGGGGGCCAGTGCGAAGCTGTCACCCAAGTGTCAGTCAGTGCTAAACGACCCGTGCTTTTGCTGCTGAATCTTTTTTTTTTATTAGTGAAATACTATGAGGTACAGTTGTAGACTTACAAGTTTTTGTGCTTGGGTTTCAGTTACACAATGATCGAGTACCCATCCCACCACCAGTGCCCATTCTCCACCCCCACCAGTCCCAGTATTCCTCCCACCCCCCCATCCCCCATCCCCCCTGCCTCTGTGGCAAGGCATTCCCTTTGTTCTCTCTCTCCTTTTGGGTGCTGTGGTTTGCAGAAGAGGCATTGGGTGGCAATCACGTTCGGTCTAGAGTCTACTTTCAGCATTCATCTCCCGTACTGGGTAGATCTTCCCAGCACCCTTTATTTGGTGCTCCCTTTTGCGGCTGGCCTCGAAGCCATGGAGTGAACTTCCTGGTATTTATCACAGCTTTCCTTGGGTGTTAGTCTCCTATTTTGTTACTTTATGTTCCCCAGATGAATGCAATCTTTCTATGTCTGTCCCTCTCTTTCTGACTCATTTCGCTTATCATGATATTTTCCATGTAGTACCACTTGTATATAAATTTCATGACTTCATCTTTTCTAACAGCTACATAGTACTCCATTGTGTAGATGTACCAAAGTTTCTTTAAACAGTCATCTGTTCTCAGGCACTCAGGTTCTAGCTATTGTAAACAGTGCTGCAATGAACAAACAAGTGCAGATGTCACTTCCACTATACTTTTTTGCCTCTCCGGGGTATATTCCCAGGAGTGGTATTGCTGGGTCAAATGGGAGCTCAATTTCTAATTTTTTGAGAATCATCCATACTGTTTTCCAAAAGGGTTGAACCAGTCGGCATTCCCATCAGCTTGCTGCTGAATCTTAATCCATCACACAGCCGGGGGCCAAAGCCCAGTCAGGGGTGAGCGCACTGGGGTCAGCTCCCAGTGGGGTGACCTCAATTTATCAGAGAGAAACACTCAGTATTCAGTGATTCTGGATGAATGCGGAAGGATCAGCCACTGTGAGCAGCACAGTCACTCAGTGCCCAGGAGGAAGTAGGGAGCCTGTGATCAGTGCTCCATCACTGTGTCGGACACTCACTGGCCTCACAGCCGTGACTACACTGTGGGGGCACTCGATTGTCGGTGGCACCAACTTTCCAGTGAGCGACAAACAATATGGCGGTTGTGATCAATCCTGGTGCCAACAGCCAACGAGTCAATTGCCAATGAGAGTGCGCTCAGTCTGCGGTGATGCTGTTCCTGGTCAGGCTGTTTCCAGCCAGCCAAAAGAGCTAACTGACTTTGATCTTGCCAATCAACGCTTGTCAGTCATCCAGGACAACCCACACTGGAGCGGCTGCTCAGCTGTGGGTCGGCGATGACCTGCCAGCGAGCAGTAAGGGTTCGGAGCTCAGCGATGGTGGGCAAACGACGATCGAGGGACTGTTGATCAGAACCCGTCACGGCAGGCGCCACCTCCCGCACCAACAGTCTGGAGATCTGTGGCCAGTCCTGAGAACTGCAGCTTCTGCACCAGCTGACCGCGTGAGGCCAGGGGTCAGTCCCAGGGAGGGTGCAGTGGCCATGCTCAGGGTGCGCAGCCCACGGTCTCCGTGCAACTTGTTCAGTGGGGCAGAGCAAGCATGGGGGACTTTCTCCAGCTCGACCACCCCAAGTAGCTAGACTCCACTTCCTGCCCTGCCCGTGACCCTGAAACACCAGGGTAGCAGGGCGTGGCCACAGTTGCCCAGGACTTCCCTCCTGGACGTGCTGGTGAGCCCCCCACTGGAGGCTGCACCTTGGCATGGAATCGAGGCCTGACCCAGGCCCCTGGCTGGTGTGGTGGTGACCTTAAGGTGACCTTTCTGCCATGGCTGAGGCACGTCACCCACCTGGTGTCAATAATGAATTAAGCTCATGCAAAGCGTTTATGATTTTAACTTTGCTTACAGGAAGCAGGACCTGGGGGAATGACACATTATCTCACCGAGGAGGCTGTGATGGCTGTGGTGCTGATCCCGTGCGCCCAGCTGACCCGCGGGCTGCGGGGCGGGGCTGCTGTGTCTATCCACACCCGGCGCTCACAGGCCTCGCCTGCTGCTCGTCCCCGAGAGCCACCCGCCACTCACTCGCCTCCTCGCCCACACACTGCCCTGAACATCACCCCCCGGAGCCTTCTCTGCAGTGAAGAGGCTGCTCCTCTTCCAGGGCCTCTCAACACGAGGATGGTGGTAGGACGGCTCCAGAACACAGCAGGCCTTGCTGTCCAGCTTCTGCAGGGGCCTGTGCTCTTGGGCTCAATCCTCCTTCCATCCCTGGCCCCAGTCACGGTCCCCCCCAGCCCCCCATGATGCAGAGCCGGAAGTAGGAAATATGCATCTTTATTCCTGGTGGGCAGCTGCAGGGGCAGGGCGGACAGCGGGCAGGGGCAGGGTCTGGGCAGGGCCACACCCAAACCTATGCCCACTTACTCCAGAGAGGAGCCAGGCCGCACACCACCTCCACCCACTCTCCGAGGGCCCCTCCCAGGAAACCTCCCCTAATGCTACCTTGTCTCCACCCCCCTACCTCCCCCATATTCAGAACATGACCTTTCACCTCCCAGAGTGGCTGCAATGCAGCCCTCAAAACCCAGGCCACTGGCAGGGGCCACTCTGGATGGACGGCAGTCCTAGGAGAGCGGCGGGAGGGCAGCCCAGGCCCCAGCTAGCGCATGCCCAGGATCTGGCGGCTCTTGAGCTGGGAGCTACGCTCCAGCTCGGCCAGGGCTTGGGCGCGCAGCTGGGCCGCGTGCAGCCTCTTCTTCAGCTCTCTGCACGGGGGTTTCGGGGCGCCTTCGCCCAGCAAGTTCTCCTTACTCTCTCTGCAGCCGCCAAAGTGCACTTTCTTCCTCGCTGCAGACGCAGGGCACTCAGAATGCTCTGGGGAGGGAAGAGGGGGAGGGTCAGAGCACGAACGGGTGTGGGGTCGTACCGGGCCTCCCCTCCTCTGAGGCCACACACCAGTCCCTCGGGCACTGAGCCCCACTAGGAAACTTCTGGTTTTTGGTCTCTTGGCTGTGCTATCGCTCTAGCCCCCTTTTCTAATTTTTTTTTAAAACCAGACATATCGGGGCTGGAGCGATAGCACAGCAGTAGGGCATTTGCCTTGCACGCAGCCAGCCCGGCCTAGCCGCCTTCAATTCCTCCGCCCCTCTCGGAGAGCTCGGCAAACTACCGAGAGTATCTCGCCTGCACGGCAAAGCCTGGCAAGCTCCCCGTGACGTATTCAGTATGCCAAACACAGTAACACCAAGTCTCAAAATGGAGACGTTACTGGGCCCACTTGAGCAAATCGATGAACAACGGGAGGACAGTGCTAGAGTGGGTTTTGGGTTTCTGGGCCACAGCCATTGGTATTCTGGGGTGACTCAGCTCTGCACTGCTGGGGACTGAACCCAGACCTCTGTATACCGGCCTGTTCCTGGAGCCCTAGGGTCCCTCCCCGACCCCTGTCCAGCCCCCTGGCCCCTCCCCGGCCTCCCAGCCATCAGCTCTTCCTTCTTGGCTTCACTGCCACAGGCATGTTTTTGAAGTTTAGGCCAATTAGTCAAGAAGAACACGACAAAGCACTTTGTTGACCAGAACCTGGTTTCCAAAAAGAAGCATGGCAAATTCAGTGTGGGAAAGGTAACTCGGGGGCTGTGTTTTACAGGAAAACCCTGGGGGGCCAGGGAGCAAGCTGAAGCTTGGGGTGGGTGCAAAGACCTGAGTGTGACCCCCTCATTGCACGAGCACCCTCTGCCTATCCATTTAAGTGCCACAGAGAAATCCATGCTTCACGGGAGTTCCGACACTTCTGGGGAACTGAGACTGGCCCGGGGGCTCCCAGTGCAGGGGGAGTGGAGCTACGTCCCACTCAGCAGCCTCTCGGAAGGAATCAGAGGAAGGGCCAGAAAGCACAGCAGGGAGTGCTCCTGCTGGCACACAGCTCAATCCCCAGCACCACAGAGGCTCCCTGAGCAGAACCAGGGGTCAGCCCTGAGCACCTCCAGGTGCGGCCCCAAACGCAAAAGAAGTAAACCCATACACAAGCAAAGATGTGATGTCTTTTTTTTGGGGGGGGTCACACCCGGCGATGCACAGGGGTCACTCCTGGCTCTGCACTCAGGAATTATCCCTGGCAGTACTCAGGGGACCATATGGGATACTGGGAATCGAACCTGGGTTGGCCGCGTGCAAGGCAAACGCCCTTCCCGCTATGCTATCGCTCCAGCCCCGATATGTCTGTTTTTTTCCAAAAAATGTTAGAAAAGGGGGCTAGAGTGATAGCACAGCCAGGAGGGCACTCGCCTTGCACACAGCTGACCTGGGTTCCATCCCAGGCACCCCAAGCCTGCTAGGAATGACTCCTGAGTGCAGAACCAGGAGTAACCCCTGAGCATCACATGTCAGGCCCCCAAAACAACAAAACTAGAAAAAACTAAATGGAAAAGGGCAGATGCAGCATCCTGGGCCCCACCCCAGCATCAATGCAAGGAGAAGAGACACAGTCCGAGTCTCCACCTGAGACGCAGCCTGAGAGGGGGAGTAACTGGAACAGATGCGGCAAGACAGAGACAGAGCCAGGGCTGCGGCCAGTGGCAGCACATCCAAGGTGGGACGAGAGAGCCGAAGGGGACTTGGAGGGGTACGGAGGGGCTGCAAGGGGCTGTGGATGACACCTGACAAGCACATGTGACACGCACACATAGATGGACGCAGAAGCTCATTCACAGATGTCCGCAAGGGCTCCACCCACAAGGACCCCGTATGACCCACCTGTGCCGCAGGCCAGAGTCAGGAAGTGCTGCTCCTTGAAGGCGCTGTAGTTCCTCAGCAGAGTGTCAGCGCGGGCCAGCTTGTCCTCAGCCAGCCGCTCGCGCACGCACAGCTCACGCTCCTTCTCTGGAAGGGCCGGTGGAACGAACCGTGAGCCCAGAGCTCCGTCCGGGGCTCGTGGTTCTAGGGTCAGCAGTGGGTGTGGGCAGCTGGGCCCGTGTCCCCACCCCAGGCCTCCTGCTCACGGGCGCTCTGCAGCGCCAGGGCAGATCCCAGCAGCCATGCAGGACCCCGGCAGAGGCGGGGACCCAGGTGTGATGGGTAAGTCACCCTCTAGCCTCAGAGGCCCCTGAATCGGATGAGGAGCTAGAGGCAGTCTCCAGGAGGGCCAGGGGTGTAGGAGAGCAGGAGTCCGGTGAACACCTGGGCCGGGTGGGAGGGTGTGGCCTCTGCTGGGCGGCTCCGGGGACACCCCTGCCCTGTGCGCTCCCTGTGGCCGCTGCCCCTGCCGCCTCCTGCCACAGCCCCCAGAGGACAGGCGCAGCACGACTTTAAGGACCTCTTTCTGGAGGGCCCCACTGCGCTGGCCCAGAGAAGCCCTGTGGAAATGGGCAGCCCCCTGAAGACTCTGGAAACACAGAGTGGCCATGGGCAAGAGCCTGGCCGGGGACAGGGTGACACGTGGGCGCGGGCCAGACAACCTTGCTTTCTCGTGCCTTCCTAAGAGCTGTCACTCACACGCGGCACACACGTGCTCACACGTGTGCTCACGGAGCACGCACATACACAAGGCGTACACACGCCCACACACGTGCTCCGTGAGCACAGGCATGCTCACCCTGCACACGTGTACTCAGAGCACACGCATGCTCAGACCCGCCACACACGTTCCCCGGAGCCGTAGCGCCACTCACGCTCTAGCCGCTCCTCCCGCGCCCGCAGCGCCCGTTCCCGCTCCTGCAGCTGCACCTCCTTCAGCCTGAGCTCGCTCACAACGGGGCCCGAGTCCTGCAGCTTCTCAGGCTCCCCGGGACGGCGACCCCTCCTCTCGGGGTTTCTCCTCTGCTCCTCGGCCACCATGTCCGCGATCAGAGGGTGCTCCAGGATCTCCTCCACTGAGGGGCGCTGGTAGTCCTGGGAAACGACCTTGTCAGGTTTGCTCCCCTGGAGATGCTGACCGGGGGCCTGGCCACTGGGGTGCCGCTGGGCGGGGGGGCCCAGGTCTCGGTACTGGCTCGAGGCTCCTCGGCCCCCATGGGCTGAGGCCCAGGAAGCCGCGCAGCTGTGTTCCTACTTCCCGTCTTAGACACACACACACACACACACACACACACACACACACACACACACACACACACACACCCCACACATGTGCATGACTGCCAACAGACGGGAAGTCTCCAGGCTCTCAGCAGAGCTGGGAGTCCATGACGCCCAAGCCCCCGCCCCCGGGAGGCAGGCCCCACCTTCAGGTGCAGCATCCGCGCGATGAGGCTGTTAAGCTCCTCCGAGTAGCGGTAGGGGATCCGCCGGAACTTGCCCTCCCGGATCTTCCCAGCCAGTTCTTTCTGGTTGAATGCAGTGAAGGGGGGCCTGGGGAAGAGGCGAGGGCATGAGGGCGAGGCTGGGGGCAGGCCTGCGGTCTGGCTCCCTGGCTCCCCTACAACCACCAGGACCCCTGCACACCACCAGGTGGGACCCCAAGAACAAAAATGTAGGCGCCGACATCCAGTATGCCGATAGTCTCACGGGCCTCCCACACTTCCAGGTCCCAGCCCTGGGCATGAGGGATGACTCCTTGTGCCGGGGGTCCTGCAGGACTCACAGAACCCCCCATCCCACCCTCAGATGCCAGCAGCACCCCTGGGAATGTGGGGGCCGATATTCCATGGGCTGCAACGGCCTCAGGGACAGAATCGCTTAGTGGATGGAGAGAGAGAATGGACAGGAGAAAGGGAGACAAGGGCTTGGGCTCCTTCTCACCCGCCAGCCCCCAGCCTGACTGACACCTATGTCAGGGGCCACCTGCCTTCATGACACCTCCCAACGGGGTGTGCCCTCCCGTAACGCCTCCTGCGTAGGGACCAGAGCCCTGAGCCTGCAGCCTCACCTGAGCACACACTTTTCCCTGTCACGTGCCACCACCCAGTTTATTTATTTGGGTTTGGGGACCACATCCAGCAGTCCTCAATACTCCTGGCGGGTCTTGGGACTATATGGGGTGGCCCCAGTGCCAGTACCTTCCCTGCACCTCAGCTCTCCCAGCCCAAGGATCTGCTCAGACTGGAGGAAGCAAGGGGCTCCCTGGGGTAATGATGATGACAGCCCCAGGGCGACCCTGTCCTCCATCAGTTCGCTGTCCACACAGCATGCGGCCGCCCACCACGTACTCACATAAGCGCACACAGTTCATACAGCAAGCAGCCCAGGGACCAGATGTCTGACTTCTCATTGTAGGACATGCGACTCATTTGCTCCTTGATGGGGAAGGAATAAAAAAGCAGGTTAAGAGCTCAGAATGGGTTGGGAGATCTGCGACAGCCAGAGTTCGACTCCCCGGTCCTCAGCACTGCATCCCACGGGTTGAGAACGGCTACTGGGGCGCCTAGACTCCTGAGCACTGCCAGGAAATGCCCCAGAGAGAGAGAGAGAGAGAGAGAGAGAGAGAGTGAAGGGGTTTGTTTAAAACTGAGAAAACTATGCCTGAGACAAAATGGAATCTTAAAGTTTGGCAACAATCATTTCAGAAAGAAAAAGAAGTTACATTATAGATGTCATGTCACAAACTCTCATCTGTAACTGGCTCAGATGCACTCTGACACCATCACTCTCCTCAAAACTGAGGGCAGGACACATCATACTAGAGGTAAGACATGATCCAACAGGGACGAGAGACTCCCCGACCTCCCAACCAAGGCAAATTCATCCAAACTTGTGAAAAGCACCAGTGAAAGCCCCAGAATGAGCAGTCTGAGATGCAATGGTAACTCATCCCTGCAGCTCATCTAGGGATGATGCCTGGCCCTGTGGGGCACTCTTCCAGCGGGTGCTGGGCACCCGGGCCCTCACTCTGCTGAGCCCACCAGCAGCCCTGCCAGCTCAGGTCAGCTTTCCACAGCGCTGACCTCAGTCCTTTGTGTTGTTTTTGTTTTTGTTTTTTGGGGCGCGTGTCTTTGGGCCACACCCAGTGGTGCTCAGGGCTTACTCCTGGCTCTGCACGCAGAGATCACTCCTGGCAGGCTCTGGGCACCGTACAAGGTGCTGGGGATCAAACCCAGGCCAGCCACATGCAAGGAAAATGCACTGCCCCCTGTCCTATCACTTTGGCCCCTGAAGTCAGTCCATCTTGCACTGTGGGGACAGCTTGGCCCACAAGGCCCCTCCCTCCTCTCCTCCCCCCAGGTAAGAGGCCCCTCTGGGGAGTGAAGGCCCCAGGCAGGAGCTGATCAAATGACAGGGCCAGAAGGGAAGAACAAAGAGTCAAAGCAGATACTCCCACCCCACAGGCTCACGTTCCCCCTAACAGACTCCTAATTATGACCTAGAGCCAAAATCACTCAACGGATAAAGTTTTAGGGTGCAGTCTGATCAGATAATGTGACTGATGAATAGTTTGAGGATCTCAGAAAAGCTTGCGAATTAATGAAATAAAGAAGCATCCCTCCGTCGCTTCCCTGGAGCACCAGCAGGATCTGACCGGGCCGCTGCACACCAGAGGCAGGCGGGCGGGCGGTGACAGCAAGAGCCCTTTGACCAGCTACAGCCTGAGGTGGGAGCTACGCCCAGAGTCTGGCACAAAGGGCTGGATGTTCAGTATGGGGGGCATCCAGAACCCAAACTGGCATGAACGATAAGGGAGGGCCCCCGTGGTCCTCACCAGAGCAGAGCTAGTGTGTGTAGGAGGGTCACAATATAAAGAGCCTGTTGCAGGGATCCAAGCTCCCAGTACCCCTCATCTGAAACCCAAGCTCCAAACAACCAATCTGGCAGCTAGCACCCAGGGCTCAGGGCAGTCACCCCACTCTCAACACAGGACTTTACTAAACTATGTCCTTGACACTGTATGATAGTAAAAACTATGTTACTGACTGTATTATCAAACTGTATGTTACTGATACTGTACTCTATTAAACAAAGGCTCCCTCTTGCTTGCAACTGGATTCTAAGTAACCGGAGGAGAAGTATTAAGACCTCTGAAGGCCCACAGAGGAAATACTCACAGGAGACATGTAGTAGGGCGTGCCCACAAAGGTTTTTGCAAAACTGGTGTCGTGGTTCAATATTCTAGCCAACCCGAAGTCCCCCAGCTTCACGTTCTGCTGGCCATCCAGGAAGACGTTGGCTGGCTTCAGGTCGCGGTGCAGGACCGTGTGGCCCCCGTCACTCCGCCGGTGGCACTCCTTCAGGGCCAGCGTCAGCTGAGCCATCACCCGGAGAACAAACTCCTCGTCCAAGTACTGCCTGGAACACAGTCCCCCAGCCTGCTGAGGCCAGCCGCCGGGGCCAGCGCCCGGGCCGGCCCCCGCCTCCCGCCAGGGCTGACCTCTCGCGTGCGCCCCTGGCGATGACGCTGGCCAGGTCCCCGCCCTCGCAGTGCTCCATCACGATGTAGAGCGTGGTGCTGCCCCGGTCGATGATCCGGTCGTAGTAGCGCACGATGTTGGGGTGCTTCAGCTCGCGCAGCAGGTTCACCTCGGACACCAGCATCTGCTTCTCCGCCTCCGACATGGAGCCATAGTCGAGCTCCTTCCAGACGAGCACCTGGGCACGGGCCACGCCGGGCGGGTTGCGGGGGCACGGCCCAGCGCCCCTCCCCGAGTCCCCGCCGCGCCCCCTCCTCCTCGGGCCGGGGGAGGAGGGGTGCTGGGCGCCCTTGACCTCCCGCCCCTGCCCCGAGCTCGGCGGTCTGGAGGGGCTCAGATGGGGCGGCCCGGGGGGGCTCAGACCAATGACCCCGGTGCCCGGTGCCCGCGGGGGAGCTCAGACCCGGCAGCCCCGGGGGCTAGCGGGAGGGCTCAGACCGGATGACCCCAGGCGCCCGCGGCCCGTGGTGGGGGCTCAGGCCGGGGGGCCAGCGGGGGGCTCAGACCGGGCGACCCCGGAAGCCAGCGGGGGGCTCAGACCAATGACCCCGGCGCCCGCGGGGGGCTCAGACTGGATGACCCCGGGCGCCCGCGGGGGGCTCAGACCAATGACCCCGGTGCCCGGTGCCCGCGGGGGGCTCAGGCCGGGCGACCGCGGAAGCCAGCGGGGGGCTCAGACCAATGACCCAGGTGCCCAGTGCCCGCGGGGGGGCTCAGACCCGGCAGCCCCGGGGGCTAGCGGGGGGGCTCAGACCGGATGACCCCGGAAGCCAGCGGGGGGCTCAGACCAATGACCCCGGGCACCCGCAGCCCGTGGGGGGGGCTCAGCCCGGGCGCCCGGGGGGCCAGCGGGGGGCTCAGCCCTGGCGACCCCGGAAGCCAGCGGGGGGGCTCAGACCAATGACCCCGGCGCCCGCGGGGGGCTCAGACCGGATGACCCCGGGCGCCCGCGGGGGGCTCAGACCGATGACCCCGGCGTCCGCGGCCCGCTGGGGGCTCAGACCGGGCGGCCTGGGGGGGCGAGCGGGGGGCTCAGACCGATGACCCCGGCGCCCGCGGGGGGCTCAGACCGGATGACCCCGGTGCCCGGTGCCCGCGGAGGGCCCAGGCCGGGCGACCGCGGAAGCCAGCGGGGGGGCTCAGACCAATGACCCCGGTGCCCGGTGCCCGCAGGGGGGCTCAGACCCGGCAGCCCCGGGGGCCAGCGGGGGGCTCAGACCGGGCGACCCTGGAAGCCAGCGGGGGGCTCAGACCAAGGACCCCGGCGCCCGCGGGGGGCTCAGACTGATGACCCCGGGCGCCCGCGGGGGGCTCAGACCGATGACCCCGGCGTCCGCGGCCCGCTGGGGGCTCAGACCGGGTGACCTGGGGGGGCGAGCGGGGGGCTCAGACCGATGACCCCGGCGCCCGCGGCCCGCGGGGGGCTCACCTTGCCGTCGCTGCGCCTCCGCACCTTCTGGCAGCGGCCGTACGAGCCGGCGCCGATGGTGTGCAGCACCTCGTAGTCCTCCACCCGGGCGGGCATGGCCGCTGGACGCTCCCGAGCCGCCGCCGCCGCCGCGGTTCCGGCCCGGTTTAACCGTCGCGGCCCGGGGCTCGCAGCCCATTGGCCGGCGGCCGGGCGCCCGGCCACTCCCATTGGCTCACAGAAACAGCGCCCCGGAGCATCTTGGGAAAAGCCTGTCACTAGGCAACCGCGCCGGCGTCAGTGTGACGTCAGCCTCGCCCTTCGGGACGGAGCGAGCTTGACGTGAAACCGAGGGGTCCCCGCTGTGACGGCTGCACGTTCTCGCGTGACTTGGGTGCTTGAAGCCAAGTTTCTTTTCTTTTCTTTTCTTTTCTTTTCTTTTCTTTTCTTTTCTTTTCTTTTCTTTTTTCTTTCCTTCTCTCCTCCCCGCTCCTCTTCTTTTCTCTCTTCTCTTCTTTTGCGCCACACCCCACGGTGCTTAGGACTTACTCCTGGTTCTGTGCTCAGGGATCACTCCTGGCAGGCCCTGAGAACCATCTGGGGTGCCAGAGATAGAACTGGGTCGACTGCATGCAAGACAAGCACCCTCCCCGCTGTACTGCCTCTCGGTCCCTGAAAGAAACTTTGAGACGGCTTTTTTAATATAAGAGGATGAGCAAATCAGTTGTGGACGGTGCCACACACGGTTTGTGGGATGTTAACTCCCCCCTCCCCCACCTCACACACACTACAATGTTCTGGGTTCCCAAGGCCAGATGGAAGATTCCATTTTACCTAGGGTGTGGGGACAGACGGCTGGAGGAGGAACATGTGCTGTCCCTGAAGGCTCCACACCCCAGTTCCCCCAGACCTTGAACATCGCTGGATGTGACACAAAAAATCCGCTCAGAGTGGGATCGAATGTAGACTGGTGTTCTACTAATAGAAATCATCTCTTTCGGGACAAGATTTGTGTGCACAGAAAATAAAGCAACTGTTGTCAGCCAGGAGAACTTTTAAAGTGACATATGAGGACACTGTTTTGTCTGGAGAGAACAGGAATGATGTAGGGACGTTGCACGGTTTTTTTTTTAGACTGACACCTTTTCGCCGGCTCGCCCCACATTCTGTCCCGCACTTCCTCTGTCCTTCCTCTTCCAGACCCCACATCTGACCGGCGCATGTTCTCAGCTGTCCACCTCACTCCTGCATTTCTTTCACTTGGAGCACTGTCCATGCTTCCCTTATCCCACCCCCAGCCCAGTGCCCTTGTCCAGAGGGTAAAACTGGCCTTTCAGGGCTGGAGCAATAGCACAGCGGGTAGGGCATTTGCCTTGCACGTGGCCGACCCGGGTTCGATTCTCAGCATCCCATATGGTGCTCCGAGCACTGCCAGGAGTGATTCCTGAGTGCAAAGCCAGGAGTAACCCCTGAGCATCGCCGGGTGTGACCCAAGAAGCAAAAAAAAAAACAACTGGCCTTTCAAGATTCACTGCCAACTTCCTTTCCTCTACTCTGTCTTCACAATTACCTTGCTCATGTGGCTAGTTTTAATTTCTATTTGGTGCAATATAAAACGATCTTTTCTTGCATGACATGTTTTCAACCTTTCAGTGCTATAGTGTTTCAGAGACTCTAATTTCGTGGTTTTGTTTGGTGCTGTGTATTGAACCCAGGGCCTCACATGCCTTCTACTGTAAGTTCTCCCACAGAGCCACTTCCCTGCCCCAGAGACCATAGTTCTTCAAAGCTACTTGGGGCTGGAGAGTTAGTACAGAGTTCAAGATGCTTACTCTGTATGTCACCAACCAAGATTTGATCCCCAACATCACGTGCCCCCCCACACACACCACTCTCCCCCATCCCTCAGAAAAAGCCACTGGGAGGACTGATGACGGTCTTCAGCTGAGCATGACCAACTCAGTTCCTGACCTCTGCCTGGGTGTGCTCTGCTTTCTGTCTCCTTTACTCCGAGTAAGGAGTACATGCGGTGCTGGTGCTGAACTTGGTCACTGCATGGCCCCAGCCCAGAGCCTGCTCCCTCAGCATCTGGTCCCTGGATGGATGAGTGCGGGGCTGCCTCTGGCAGGGAGGCGTGTTCCCCAGTAGGGGGCAGCAGAGCGCTGCCTATGAAACTGGGTTCCTTTGTGAAGCCCTGAAGGCCTGAGCAGGGCAGGCAGGGCCCTTGCTTTGCACACAGCAGACAGGGGACTCATCCCCAGCACCAGGCCCCAGCCCCTCCAGGAGTGACCCCGAGTGCCGTCAGGAGTACGTCCTGAGCACGGCCAGGAGGACACAGGAGTGAACATTAAAGGCTTGGTTCTGGGCTGGACCATGAATTCATCCCACTTCTGTCTGGTAGGTGAGGACGGCTGGTCTCAACACAGGGGAACCGGCAGAGAATGAATCACAGATTTCACATGGTGCCGTGATGTTTGTAGACTGGGTCCGTCTGGATCCGGGCCGGCTGCAGTCATGTCCGGGGGAAGGGCTGAGCAGAGGCACTTTCTCAGAATGTTCTGTAAAGAACCCTCTGAAACGAGGGTGGGAACCTGTGGTGGGAGCGATGGGGATGCCCCAGGGGACACAGTACCTCTCCCGTGGAGGGAAGGCGAGACCTGTGTCCCTTTCCTCATGGGGTCCCCGTCCTGGGTCTCTCCCCTCGAGGGGTCCTGCTGGCTGGTCTCGGGGATCGGAGCTGAGAGCAGAGCCCGCCTGCCCAGCTGAGTCCCTCGGGCTCTGAGGGCAGCTGAGCGCTTGTCCAGCCCCTGACCGTGAGTCATGGGGACACAGGCCAACGGGGGATGGCTGTCCTGGCCCCCAGCCCAGGCTCATCCAGGCTCGGCTCCTCTCACTCCACCCGAGGCTGGGGACCCTCGCAGGCGGCTCAGCTGCCCGCACACTGCCTGCCCTCCCTCCCCCCTCCCTTTCTCCCTTTCTCCCTTCCTTCCCTCCCTCCCTCCCTTCCTTCCTTCCTTTCCTCCCTCCCTTCCTTCCTTTCCTCCCTCCCTTCCTTCCTTTCCTCCCTCCCTTCCTTCCTTTCCTCCCTCCCCCTCCCTCCCTTCCTTTCCTCCCTCCTCCCTTCCTTCCTTCCCTTTCTCCCCCTCCCTCCCTCCCTTTCCTTCCATCCTTCTCCCTCCGTCCCTCCATCCCTCTGTCCTTCCTTCCTTCCTTCCCTCCTCAGCCCGCATACTCAGGCTGCTTCAAGGGGTGGCACCAAGTGGAGAACCAACAACCACACAGCCTCACACCGACTGCTGCGCCCGCTGGCCTGGCCCCATCACCGACGTGGGCCACTGGCCAAGGGGCTGTCCATCAGGGTCTGGCTCAGTCACAGGCTGGGGAACCCGGGTGACAGTGCAAAGGGAGAAGGTCTCTGGAGTGAAGGAGGTCTGCAGCAGGAAGGGGTCAGGGTCTGCACTAGCCCCTCTGGCCTAGGGCCAGCACTTCCCTCTAGAGAGTCCTGGGACCCCACTTTGGAGTTTCTCTGCTCTGGGGCTGGAGCAGTAGTTCTGCGGGGAGGGGGCTTGCCTGGCATGTGGCTGACTGGAGTTTGGTCCCCGCCTCCCTATATGTCTCCTGAGCACTGCAGGAGTGATCCCTGAGCACAGAGGGATCACAGTAGACCCTGGAATGAGTGTTAAGTACCGCCAGATATGGCCTCCAAACAAAAAGCTCCCTGTGCTCTGCCCGGGCCTGCGCTGAAGAAAAATAAGCCCCTATCCCCCTCCCGCCCCCCCGAGAAATGGTGACATGACCCATTGCTCAGGGAAGCCCAGAGTCGGCAGTGAGGCATCAGCAGGCTGTCATGCAGTCTGTCAGATGTTGGCAGGCACCTGCAATTAAAGCCCAGTCAGGGGGCTGGAATGATAGCACAGCGGGTAGGGCGTTTGTCTTGCACGTGGCCAACCCAGGTCTGATTCCAAGCATCCCATATGGTCCCATGAGCACCGCCAGGAGTAATAACCTGAGTGCATGAGCCAGGAGTAACCCCTGTGCATTGCCGGATGTGACCCGAAAAGCAGGAAAAAAAAAGCCCAATCATCGTGCTCACAGTCACTGCTAGGCAAGAGGGGCTCCTTTCAGTGAGGGTGATTTGTCCACGGGTAAGGATGGCTCAACAGTCACATGACAGCTGAAGACAAATCTGAGACTTTAGTGGACAAGGCACCAGCCCAGTTTTCAGGTCACAACTGAACTGTGATTTCTCCAGGCAGGCATCAGGGCCCAGTAAGAGACAACTCGGGGACTCATCAGTGCACGCCTGCAACCTGCCCATATTCTAATTCAGAATGTTGTGGTTTCACGTCCTTTGATTTTTCATTAGTCATGCTTACTTGCTATCTGCAAGAATTTTAACACCGTCATGTCCTCTGTATGCCTGGTTTTCTTCTGAACAAAGGACCCTGGATGTTTCTAGGGGCTGCTGGCCTGGGACGTGGGCTGGCCTGGAACGGAGGGAGGTTTGGCGGCACTTGGCACCCCGCAGCCTGCCAGGTCTGTAGCTCATGCGGCAGATGTCAATGTGTTATATCTCGAGCAAAACACAAGCACCAGAGCTGATGGGGCAAGTGCACTTAGAGAAAGAAATCAACTTTATTTATTCTTCATTAAAAAGAGAGAAGGGGTTAGCGAGAGCCTTGCACACAGCTCATCTGGGTTCGATGCCGGCACCACATATGGTCCCCTGGGCCCCACCAGGAGCGACCCCTGAGTGCAGAGCCAGGAGTAAGCCCTGAGCACTGCCAGGGGAGACTCAAAAGCCAGAGAGATAGACAGAGCTGCTCTTGTCCACCTCCACACTTCTAGAAGGGCAATGTGGTGACTGAATCAGCAGCCACCCAGTCCAGACAGGAGAATCGAATCACAGTGTCACTGCCCTTCACGCTCATCTCCACTGTCCCCTGCTACAGCCAGGACCTGGGGAGAGGAGGAAGCACAGTGTCTGTGCATGTGCGTATGGGGGGCTGGGGGTGCTTCCTGCCCAGTCACCCACCTTGCCCAGACCCCACCCTTGCAGTGCTGCCCCGGGACCCAGTATTGCCACTTCCCTTTTGTACCTCCTTTTTAAACTCTTTTGCGCTAGTTTGGGGGCCACGTCCAATAGTGCTCAGGGTTAGTGCTGGCTTTGTACTCAGGGATCACTCCTGGCGGTCCTCGAGCAGCCCTGGGTCAGCCACATTCAAGGCAAGGCCCTCCCTACTGTGCTCCCCCCAGCCACTAGGCTTTTTTTTTTTTTTTTTTTTTTTTTTGCTTTTTTGGGTCACACCTACCAATGCTCAGGTAGGCTCAGGGGTTGTTCCTGGTTCTGCACTCAGGAATTTCTCCTGGCGGTGCTCAGGGGACCATATGGGATGCTGGGAATCGAACCAGGGTCGGCTGCATGCAAGGCAAACGCCCTACCCGCTGTGCTATCACTTCAGCCCCAGCTGTTTTTTATTAACAAGATATTAACTATAAATATCCTCAATCATGGAATCTGCAGGAAAACCCAGTGAGTCTGCAGCCCTGCACCACAACGTTTCTGCATCCTCAGCCGAGAGCCCGGGTTCGGTTCCATACTGGTAGGGTCTGAAGTGGAGTCAGGTCCCGTGGCCTCGGCCCTCCAACAGGGCCACTCACCTGCTCCCTGGTCTCTCCCGAGGCTGCCACCCCTCAGCGCCGTGAGAGCCCCGGCTGACTCATGCTCACCCCCACACACCTCAAGTTAGGGACACTCCCCCTGCTCCGCACTGCCCAGGCCACCCACGGGGCCTGAGGACGGGTGCCCCAGAGGCCGAGTGGGCCCTATGCAGGGTATGGGGCTGCAGCCAGCTCTTCCTGTGTGCAGAGGGGAGTGCAGCTGTCGCGACTCCCCTAACACTCCGTATTTCAGGGGCTCCTTCCTAGGCCCGTAGGCTGGGGGCGGGGCTCTTGCGTCTCCCCTCCTGAGCTGTGTCTTTCCTCGTTTCTTCCCCACACGTGGACAGAGCCCTCAACACACCGGCAAGAGAAATGCATGGCTCCGAAGCAGGTGTCTGCGTCGTAAAACCGGCACGCAACCCAGCAAGGACACAGCAGCCGGATGCCAACATTCACACTCGAGTGCTGTGTCTGCGAGAAGGCTACGACATCTGGGCCCCGACTTCTCCCCGGAGAACTGCGCGGTCCCTTCCGATCCTCGCTGCAGAGAACTCAGGGCTGATAACCGCGAGAACCTGAGAACTTGGGCCACAAGAGCTCACTTCTCTTCCAAACGGTCCACTAGATTCTCCACCTCGCGGCCTGCACCCCCGGTCCCACAGGGCACTCCCCGCTGCCGGCTGTCTGCCCTTCGCCAGGCAGCTCCCGTCCCCCACAACACGCCAAGGAGCAGTGTCCAGAGCGAGCACGCCCTGCTCCTGGGTTGACCCAGAGCCTGGCCCTTAAGGCGCCGATGCAGCAGTGGCTGAGACATCCCGCACTGCTCCAGGGTCTGTGCAGGCTTCGCGCCTTTCCTGAAGACCGAGACGCAGATTCTCCCGGGGCGCTTCTCACGACACAAAGGGAGCACAAACCCGGGCTCCCGTGCTGGTCTGCCCCGCGGTCTGCATGCAGAGCCTGCCCTGGTCACCCACCCCAGCGTGCCACCCCGGAACGTCAGCATGGGGGAGCAGACTGGCTCAGGCTCACTCTCAGATGAGAGGGGGCAGGAACAGTAGGTGACAGTCCCCGGGGACATTCCGGCGCCCATGCTACGTCAACTGTGAGTCTCTCCACACTGGACTCGGGACCTGGGGGGGCAGAAGGCGTCGTCCCACAGGGGGCAAGGTACAGGGTGAGACATACGGATTCTGGGGGGGCTCCAGGTAGCCCAGCCGCTTCCTTCCGACAGCAAAGGCCAGGGCACAGGCACCTCAGTGGGCAGCCCAGCGGGAGAAGCGCCACACCCCCAGAGCAGCTCCACAGCCTCAAGTGGCCCCCTCCTGCCCCCCCTTGAGTTGGACATGGCCCCCACCTGCGATGCACACCCCAAGACGGTAACTATTCCAACATGCTGTCCACTGAGGCAGCTACCCACACGACGTCCACTGACGGTGACTGTCCTGACATGCCTGTCCACTGAGGCAGCTGCCCACACCGTGTCCATCTTTGGGAGGCTGCTGTGGCCTCACCTTCCCCGTAACGGGAGAAAACAGAAAATTCACATCTTCTCAAGAGTTGGGTTTTTTAGGGGTTTTTTGGTTTATTTAAAAATAAAAAACATTGGTCTTCATTTTTATCTTACAGCCTACTTTTCCGAGTTGTCGTTTGTATGATCAGCGACACCGGGGCAGGGAGGGGAGGGTGACAGTGCTGGGCTTGCAGAAAATGACCACCAGGTGACGAGGGCCCGACCCAAACCCCCTCAACACCGGGTCCCAGGGCCAGGGTCGGGCCTCATGGCTGGAGTCCGGGTCTCCTGTGAGGGGAACTGCGTGGCCGTGGAGGCAGACGGTCGGGGGCTAGTGTCCAGCACAGGCTCTCTCCTCTTTTAACAGCAACTTGAAGACAGAGGGAGCCTCTGGGGGTGGGGCTGGTGAGGGGGAGGGCAGGCCAGGCTGGGGGCTGGGAGATGAGTGGCCAGTGACCGCCCGTGTGGCCTGGTGGAGGCCAGTGGGGCGCGGCCTGGCCCTCCCAGTGAAGAGCAGCGTGGCCTCCTCCGGCTGGTCTGTAAGTGCTCGGCCTGAATCGGTCTCAACCATCCGCGATGCATTTGGTGCGCTCTGCCCCGGTGGGAGAATAAAGCTCAGACACAAGCGGCCTCCAGGGAGAGGAGTGGGGCCACAGACAGCAGCCCAGGACCGTGCCCGTGCGACGCCCATCCTCCGCTCACCCCTGGCCTGTTCACGATGCACAGGTGGAGGGTGTGTTTCCTGGCACGCCTGCAGCGCCCTGCAGGCCTCCCCACCCCTCGCTCAGGAGCAGCCCGGGCAGCGCAGGGAGTGGCACATGTCCACAGACCCTGGTCCCTGGGCCTGCTGAGTGCTGGTGCCCCACCTCCCACGAGGGTGTTCGCGCCCCCAGGGAGCCATGGGCGAGCTCAGGGCTGGAGGCCCCATGGCCCTCCCCTGAGCAGGAACGGAATCATGGAGAGCCGGAGCCGTTACACGCGCTCAGAGGGTCTCGCAGAATGAGGGGCTGCAGCTTCCTCTGCTCTGAGTGCAGTGCTCGCGCAGATGTGTGGGATAGAATCTTTTGAAAACGTGAAGAGTCCTTCAAACCTACGAACAGGTCATTCGAGTGCTGATCCTGCCTGTAGTTGAGTCTGAAACACCCGAAGGGGCCCAGATGCGATGCGGGTCCTCGGCAGCACGGCCTCTGCCTCTGCGTCTGGTGGCTTCTGCCCTGCGCCAGGAGGCAACGCGGCAAGACCCGCACGCGGCCGGGCACTGCAGGGCTTCTAGAACAGGCAGTGGTAGCAGTACTGCAAGATGCTGTACCACATGTAGCCTGACAGAAATGCGAAGGACTGGATGAGGACGAGCCACACGCTGCTGAGCGTCATCTCCCGGGACACGGCTTCCTTCTGGCCCTCGGCCGGAGGAAAGGCCCCTACGAGACAAGACAGAGACTTGTCTGCTTCACTGGGCAGGTGTGTGGGTGCGGGCGGTGGGGGGCAGTTCCAGGAAGCAGCTCAACGCCGAAGACCCTGGGCACTGTTGAGTTCTTCAAATGCGCCTGTCACTCCCTCACTCCCAGAGGGACACTGAACCAATGCACTTGTGTGTGCCTGTACGCGTATGTGCCTCGCAGGCATGTGAACATCTGTGTGCGTGCATGTGCCTAGCAGCACCTGTGTCAGTGTGCATGTGTACATCTTGTGTGTCTGTGTGCATGCATGGTGTGCCTGTGTCTGTTGCATGCATGTGTACACATGTGTCTGTAATATGTGTCTGTGTATGCATGTGTATACCTGTGTCTGTGTGCGCATGTGTGCATCCATGTGTGCCTGTGTGTGTGCATGAATACACCTGTGTGTCTGTACGTGTGCATGGTGTACTTGTGTGTCTCTGTTTCTCTGTGTGTATGTGTGCACCTGTGTGTGCCTGTGTGCATGCATGGTGTGTGTGTGCATGTGTATACCTGTGTGTCTGTGTGCATGCAAGTGTGCACCTGTGGGAGCTGTGCGTGCGCATGTGTGCACCTGTGGGTACCTGGGTGCATGCATGTGTGCACCTGTGTGTAGTCGTGTGTGTGTGCATGTGCATACTTGTGGGTGCCTGTGTATGTGCATGTGTGCACCTGTGTGTGCCGGTGTGCGTGTGCATGAGCTGCGAGGTCCTGTCCTCAGCTCAGCCAGTGGTGGTTCTCCCGCATGCTGCCCACAGCAGGACCAGCTGTCCACACACCCATCCCTGCTGACCTACCCCTACGTCTTCCCGCCTCATTCACTGCCAGGCTCCCGCTGGAGTGCCGGGAGCCCACTGAGCCCTTTTCCACAGCAGCTGAACCTGGGATGGGCTGATGGCATGTCAAAGTGACGGGCGTGCTGGAGCATTTCAGAGTGGCAGTGGCCCCCCAAATGTCATGGCCAGGCGCCCTGTTCTGGGCAGTCTTTGTCTGGCTAGGGGTCCCCTGGAGGCTGATTCACAGGACCTGCTTCTCACTAGTAGTGACGGGAGCACACGGCCAAGCACCCAGCTCCATGCGCAAAGTTTTCTCTGAAGAAGCCTCCACCACGGGGTGTCAAGACACTCGGGCTCCTCCCTCACACAGCCTGTCCTGAGATCAGGGCCCGCCCACAGCTGGCCAGGCTGCGGGAGGGGCGGGCAGTGTCCAGGCAGATGAGGCCACAGGACACAGGCCCAGTTCCTGGCACAGGGGTCCTGCTCCCTGTAACTGGAGCCATGGAGCTGTGCACTGAGGACAAAGGGCATGTGCGCACACTCTGAAGACATGAGGCAACTCTGCACCCAGGCGGGCATGGAGTCCTGTGCCCGCAGGCGGAGTCACAGAGTGAGGAGTCTGCAGGGGTCTCTTCAACACTAAAGCGGGTCTGTCTGTCTGTTTGAGGGCCGCACCTGGAGGTGCTCGGGGCTGACTCCTGGCTCTGTGCTCAGAAATCACTCCCGGTAGAATCCAGGGAGCATGGGGTACCAGCAATGGAACCCGGGCCAGCTGTGTGTAAGGCAAACTCCAGTCCTCAACACGGAATCATATTCTGGGTGTTGGGAGCATTGGAACATGGAGGCTCCCTCGGACTGGCCTCCCTGTGCCACAGAGTGGACGGGGCAGCAGCCACATACCTGTCTCATAGAAGTGTGCCAAGAGACCCTCCTTCTCGATGAAGCGCTGGTAGAGCCAGTCGGCCAGCCTGTCGCCCTCCAGAGGGACATCTTTGATGGGGAAGATCCTGTGGAGACGGAGAAAGGGCAGCACGGCCTCAGTCTGGGGGCACCACCAGCTGAGGGACGGGCACAAGGACCCGCAGAGTCCAACCCCCTGCTGGCTCCACAGGGCTGCTCAGAGCTTCCTGAGACGCTTGGGGCTCCAAGCTGGGCTCAGGGTCCTGGGACCACTCTCAGCGATGCTCGTGCCAACTGGGATGAAGGATTCCATGCTCAGCCCTCAGGGCCACCCCGGCAGCTCTCAGGGTCCATGACAGGGTGTCAGGGCGGAGCCAGGCCTGCAGCTTCACGGCTGAGCTATCTGCCAGCCCACTTCTCATTCTTCCAAATAACTGGTTGATTCCAGAATGGTGTCTGTTCACGCATCTGCTCAGTCACCAAGGGAGCACGTGTGTCAGCCACACGGGCTAGTGCCATACACCTTCCTGTCCCTGCAGTCCCAGACAATGATGGGAGTGGGATTGGTCTCGCCAGCAGAGCACCCCCCCAACACCCATCTCAGGTCCCCAGGCAAATCTGGTGCTCGCCCTTCTCTCCACCTCCTTCAGATTCTACCAGTCGTGCGTCTGCGTGAGAGAGGCAGGGGCCCAGGCCAAGGAAAGGCCCAGCCTGGCGTGGTGAGGGTCAGCACAAGAGCCTGGTGGCTCAGGCCTGCTGCCAGGCAGAGACCCATAGTCAGGCCAACCCTGGAGAAGGTGCCTGGTGGAGGGACTGTGCTTCCAGGCCCAGAATCGCGGTCAGTGCACCATTGGCCTCGTCTGTGCTCGGGCCAGAGCCGCGGGGGTGTCGGGGACAGGCCATGGGCTGCCCTGGACAGCCACCCCTATGCTGGTCTCCCTGCAGTGGCCACCTGCCCCTGATTCCCAGGCACAGAGGCCAGTGTCTGTCCCCAGCTGGGCTCCTGGGGGCTGCAGAAGATGGGCCGTGGAGGCTACCCTGTCGCCTGCTCAGGGAGCAGCAACAGCACCTGGGCTGGGTCTGGAGACGGGACCCTGGGTGCCCCCTCTCCACAAGCGCAGGGCTGGCAGGCCAGGGTGGCGCCGTAGACAGCGCAGACACTCCAAGGCCTCCACACTTGCCACTGGCGCGCCCTCAGGCGGCCTCTCTGGGTCTGCATTAGTGCTGGGTGGGCTCCGTGCCAGAGGGCGCGTGGTGCTGTGCGGGCTGCCCAGGGCCATCCTGGCACCAACACTGGCCAGCAGCACAGCCTTGGCAGCAATACCCGCGCTTGGGCTGGCACAGTCCCCCAGGGCCGTCATTCCTGGGGGTCGCACGTGTCCTTGGCAGCGGTGAGCACACACCCGCCCCAGAGGCCTGAGTATTCACCCCCTGGGGGAGAGGCGCAGCCTCACGGCCCACGGACAGCAGCCCCTGGACAAGCGTGCCCACCTACAGCCACTGTGGAGCCCAGCAGGCCACCCAAGACAACAGGAGCTGGAATACAAATGCGTCCCGGCCCCGCCGTGTTCCACGGACAGAGCTGGCAGCTCCCCCCTCGCTCCCCCTGCCCCAGCCCCTCCGGGTGCGAGGCGTTTCCTCCAGACCCATCAGCAGGGCTCGGCTCCCGGTAGCTCCCGCTCAGGGCTACCAGTGTGGCGCACACAAAGAGTGAACCACCAGGCCTGGACACTGGGTCCAAGTTCTGCCCGTCTCTCCTGTGTGCACATCACCTGCCTATCCCTTCCTGCCACGCAGCCCGAGCAGGGGCTGGTCCGGGACGAGAGGAGATGCGGCCAGTGGCCCTTTGGCCTGCGCTGGCGGTCACGCACCTCCGCGGCTGTAGTGCGGCCTCCACACCCAGACACTGGATACGGAAGGACAGTCACGACGCATGAAACTCTGCCCCCACAGCAAAGTTTCCTGTTTCACCAGCATACTGGAACACTTATCACGCTATTTCTCCCTTTATCCTGTCACCCCGACAAATTCACTGGCGTCCAGGGTGTGACGGCAGCATCCGCTTCTGGGGCGCTTCTGGAGCTGCGCTGAGCAGCTCAGCACAGCAGGGCCGGGCCTGTTCCCGTGGGAGTCTGCGCCGGGCAGGGCTCGCCTTACCTCTGCCCGCATAAGCCCGGGACAGCGGCGCTCACCTCTGCACAGATAAATAACTGACTCAGCCTGGGGGATTCTGTGCTGACAGGGTCTAACTCCTAGTGACGTGGGCGCACACCTGGGTTTGTTGGTTTTTATTTGGTTTGAAAAAAAATCAAAGATGTGCTTAAATGCAGAATAACAAAAAAATAGTTTTCTGAACCATATATAATGTTGAGAGTAAAAAAATTTTTTTTAACTTTTCTACATCTTTTATAAAGGGCTGGAGCGATAGCACAGTGGTAGGGCGTTTGCCTTACAAGCGGCCAACATGGCCGACCCGAGTTCGATACCTCCGCCCTTCTCGGAGAGCCCGGCAAGCTACCCGTGACGTATTCGATATGCCAAACACAGCATATTCGATATGCCAAACACAGTAACAACAAGTCTCATGACGGAGACGATACTGGGCCCGCTCGAGCAAATCGATGAACAACGGGAGGACCGTGATACCGCTGATACCGTTTTTATAAAGAAAACCATCTTTAAAAAAACACAAAAACAGGGGCTGGAGTGATAGTACAGCGGGTAGGACGTTTGCCTTGCACGCCGCCAACCTGGGTTCGATTCCCAGGATCCTGTATGGTCCCCTGAGCACCGCCAGGAGTGATTCCTGAGTGCAGAGCCAGAAGTGATCCCTGTGCATAGCCAGGTGTGACCCAAAAAGCAAAAAAAAAAAAAAAAGCAACTTTTAATAAAAGTAATCAGGGGCTGGAGCAATAGCACAGCAGGTAGGGCATTTGCCTTGCACGCGGCCGACCCGAGTTTGATTCCCAGCATCCTATATGGTCCCCCGAGCACTGCCAGGAGTGATTCCTGAGTGCATGAGCCAGGAGGAACCCCTGTGCATTGCCAGGTATGACCCAAAAAGCAAAAAATAAATAAATAAAATTAAATTAAAAAATTAAAAAAGTACTCAGCCTAAACCCAATCTTCAGGGAATGTTAATTCACTAATCAAGAATTTGTATGCAGTGATTCGTCCTCATAGCACTTTATATTTGTAAGTAGGACTTTGTAATTTCAAAGATTCTTATACAAATCAGTGTATCGCATAGTCCTGGCAGTGCCGGGCACCTCTGCCTGTGCCCTGGGCCCCAGGCTGGGCTTCCCTGTCCCGCAGCAAGAGGATCCAAGGGACAATGAGGGCCGCCCTGGTCTCCAGGCCCCGGACCCGCAGTCCGGGAAGAGACCTCAGTATGGCCGGTGCCTGGGCCTTCCTGAAGGATGCACAGGCGGGATGCCCGAAGGGAACTCAGAGCTCTCAGCCGGCACCACCTCACCCTCAGGGTGTGCCCAGAGCACGCCAAGGACAGCTCAGTAAGAGCGGAGTGAGCCAGAAGGCAGGACAGCGGGGGACAGCGAAGGACAGTTGCTGAGGTTGAAATCAGAGTCACAGGCAAGGCAGGCACCTTACACCTGTATTACTACTCTGGGCGCCCCTGGGCCATCTTCTCAGTTAATTACTCTGGCTCTTGTGCCAGACCAGCAGGACCTCATGATGTCCCCAGAACACCTTTTATTTGGTGGTGCTTGGGTGGCCCCTGGCATCGCTCAGGGGCCCGTGGATGCCAGGAACAGGACACAGCCTCCAGCACTCAGCCCCCTGAGCTAAGTGCCTGGCCCCTAGAAGCCATTTTTAGAGACTTCATCACTCTGAAAATGAAAGCTTCAAATGATAATTTTGTGTTAAAATTTCAGCATAGGACCAGATCAACAGTACAATGACATGGGCGCCCAAGCACACCAGGAGTCCTTTTTTTTTTTCCAAATTGAATCACCATGATACAGTTGCAAAGCTGTTCATGACTGGGTTTCAGTCATACAATGTTCCAACAGCCACCCCTCCACCACTGTACATTTCCTACCACCTGCCACTCCCTGCCCCCACCAAGGAGAATTCTTGCATGCAGAACCAAAAGTAGCCCCTGAGCACTGCTGGGTGTAGCCCCCAAAAAACAAACAAAAATTTCAGCATTATATGATTTTGAGCCAACTATTTTCATTATCTGATTACAATTTAATACTAAATATCCATACAGTCCCACGAGTTTATACTGGGAAAGCAGAATACCCGGGAAGTTTCTTACCTGTAATGGACGTGTGTAACTGTAGGCTTCCGGTAGCCGAGAATCCAGGTTTGGATATCTATGGGCTCAGCTTTGGGGTAAGCTATGGTTGTATCTATTATCCACTGGAGGCCTTTTGATTTGCTGTCTGAGAACAAAATAAAAACACTATTTACATTGGATAAACGCTGTGTGTGTGCAAGCGTGCATGTATGCATGAATGTGTATGCATGTACCTCTGTGCATTTATGCTCGTGCAAGTGTGTGTAGTGCCAGACAATGAAACCCAGGGCTCATGCATGCGAGGTGGGTGTTTACTGTCGAGCCACATCCACAGGCCTGCATAAATGCTCTGGACTGTCTGCAGAGCCGAGCATACGGATGTACCTTTGATATAAATTTTTGGGCATCTATTCTACAGGATACACATGAGGTAAAGACAAGCCTTTCTACTGTAAAACGGGTGAATCTCAAGCAAATCAGAGCCCGTGCGAGGCGGGCTGCGTGCAGTGAGATCACACACCTTTCAAGTCGTACTCTAGTGCCGTGAAAACTGACCTATGAGGTCGAAAGCTAAATGATCACACACAAGAGTGAAAAATCAGAAAACAAAACACTGAATACAACTGAGCACTGGCACCAAGGTTCACCTGAAGAACCACGGGCAAATATTGGAATAAGGCTAGAAGCGCTTCATTTGACTAATACACGGTGTTTATAACGAGACCAAAACCTTTCTGTTTCTAAATTACACGCAACTAAGGCCGTCAGCTGGCCCTCCCGAGGAGATCCAACAGGGGGCGCTGCTTCAGGCAGGCCAGGGGCAGTCTAACCACTCTGGTCCTTGGAAGCTCCTGGTACCCTGGTAAGAAGCTCAACTTGTCAAGAACTGAGGAGAAACCGTGAGAATACTGCCAGGTGCTCAGGTGTGATAGTGCAGACCAGGGAGCAATTAGGAACTTCCCTAAAAACAAAAAGAACCAAAAGAATCTCAATCACATGCCGATGGGCATTAAGAAATCAGTATTAGTATTTCTATATGTCAAATAATTAAAAACTGGCCTGAAGTTATTCTTTTGTTTGTTTTTGATTTAGAGTCAAACCCAGCGATGCTCAGGGCTGACTCCTGGCTCTGCACTCAGGCATCACTCCTGGTGGTGCTCAGGGAACCAACTTGCCCACATTGAAATCTTCGCTATTGGGAAAATATACATACTTGTAGAAACTATGATATCAGTTTACCAGCCCTGCCCCTCAATTCAACGACAGTAAGGTAAAAACAGCTTCACTCTGGTTATGAACAGAAGCTGTGGGTGTCATCGGTGGGACAGTCACGTACGGGCCCCAGGGAATGGACACACGCCTCCCAGTCTTTCTTGGGCACTGACCCCACTAAGTAGCCTCTGCCTTCCAGCTTGGGCTTGGCTGAGAGGAACAAATCCCTCTCCAGCAGCGAAGCTACTCAGAACTTTCCTTTTCTATTAAAAGACTCTTTCAATTTGTCTTTTTAATAGATGATGAAAGAGTGGCAGAGCTGACTGCCAAGAAGCTGCTCAGACAAAACAAATGAAGGGGAGAGTTGGTGCCATCTCACGCCATGATTCTTGTCTGGCCCGACCATCGGTTAAGAGCTGAACTTCTTAGGGCCAATCGCTTCATGTTCTAAATGTTATCTGCGGCACACGGGAAGGAACGGCAAACCTCCACTGAGGACACAGACACGTGCGTTTCTCCTGGCCTTCTCACAGTCTGTCACCAACGCCCTTGTCCACTCATGGCTAGCTCTACCATGTCCTGCAACTGCTGGCCAGGGTGTGTCCCCAGGTGCACTCAGGGCCCAGCTGTGCTCGGAGTCACCGTTGCTGGGCTGGGGGGGTCGTACGTCAGTGTGTGAAAGGCCAGACGAGACACAGAGCCACGCCAAACCAGACACGGGGCCAGCCCTGTGGGCCAGCACCCACGGTGCCTCTGCCACTGACCAGATGCCTCCTGCTGCCACAAAGGTGGTGTGGCACCTGCACACCAGGAACAGGCATCCCTGATGGGCGGGCCAGCTCAGGTGGCGGGCTGTAGAATAACACTGCCACAGGGAGCTCAGGTTTATCCAGTTACACCCATCACAGTGCTCCCGAGTCACTCCCATTCCTCTGTTTATCTGTAAACTCTTCTCTGTGCTCTCCTCCCTGGCCAGTTAATCACCTTTTCTCCCTAATCAGATTCTGTTAGCTTGTAAGATCAGATCCTTCTAAGGACACTGAACTTGTAAGTTATGTCTTTTGCACAGTTTACTTTAAAGCAATGTCCTTTCTGTATGGACACAGGAAGACAGTTAATATTATGCTTTGTAACTTGGGAGTTGACTGACTCCAAATAATATTTACTCCTGGGCATCTGCTTTCTTGACTCAGTTGCCCTTAGTTCCTAGCACCCCAAAAGCAGGGTCCCGACGAGGGACTGAATGGACCCAGGGCAAGCTGTGAGCTACCCTGGCATCGAAATGGGCCAGGCCAAAGCGCCACGATACTCAACTATAAGTTGAGGGCATGGTCATGGACAAATGCTGTCACGACCCAAAAGTAAGTAACGACGAGGTGTGGGCCCCAAATCAAACAAAATCGAGGCAGAAATGCCCGAATGCATCACCTGTAGTGGCCGGGTTGAGCTGTGGAGGGGCCGAGCATCGGCTACTTACCCGTCCCTCCCCTGGACTTTCCCCAACTCTTTTTTCTATTATCAACAAACTTGATAAACTTCTTTGCCAGTGTCCAGATTGTTGTGTTTATGTAAGTACTGTCTGCAGTGGAATGAGTCACGTATCAATATTTTAAGCCTCTTATAACACAGCCGAACAGGCTCTCAGCATCAAAAACAAATTCTGAACTTGTCACATGAAGAAATCTGTATCATTGCATCCGCATGTCTCTCAGATGGCGAGTTTTTCACATGACTTTTTGTGCCGGAGACTGAGGCGGTTGTGTGTGAGAACCGGAAGGTACCATGGTGCTGGGCCTTGGGCAGAGGGGTTGTGGTGTCCTCCTGGGGCCACTCCCAGGTCTTCTCATCTCATGTGCCCTTCACGATGCCCCCCACACAGAGCAGCGCATGGACGTGCGAAGCTGCTCTCAGGAACCACTGTTGGCGCAAAGGCAGGAATGCCTGGACACAGCCGGGTCTGCAGCAGCTAAATAAACCGCATGGACGTTCAAAGTCCAGCCGCCTGGAGACAGTGCAGTGGGAAGGGCGTTTGCTCGCACGTGGCGATCCAGGTTCGATCCTCGGAATCCCATATGGTCCCCCGAGAACGACTGACTGGGAGCAGTTCCTGAGCACAGGACAGGAGCCAGGAGTAACCCTGAGCATCGCCAGGCGTGTCCCCAAACCAAAACAACAACAAGCCCGGCCGCTCCTCCCCTGCCAGAGTGACTCGGAGCTGGTGACAGCTGAGAACAAGGTGCGGTGAGCGAGGCGCATGGCCACCTACCTGGGCACCTGGCATCACCGCCAGCTGGGCTCCCGTTCTCCTGCCGCACCACCAGCGTGCTCAGGAGGACACCGGTGGCGCCCACCCTCGGCAGGGTGACATGCGTGAGGAACGGAAGGTTGTTTTTCTTGGCGAATGCTTGGCTTGTTTCGCGCCTCTTCCGCAGGAAGCCCCCTTCTGGAAACAAAACAATCCATTTTCTATCTCTGCTCCTGTAATTATTTTCTAGGTGCTTCTTGAGAAGCAGCAGCTGCCGGTCCCGGTGAGACTTCCCCTGGATGGTGGACACAACATGAGGTCAGGCGGGCGCTCCCCACGGATCCCTGTGAGCAGCGAGGGCACCCCAGAGGCACCCGAGGGCACCTGCACACATGGCCAGAGCCTCCCCGGGCCGTCCCCGTGGGACTCAGTCCCAGCACCTGCCCACTGTCCCCTGGGGGAGAAGGAAGAGGCCCCCGGTGCTCCAGGGGGAGGGCCTGTCAGGAGGAAGAGAGGGCGAAGGGCGGGGACCAGTCACGGGCAGGCGGCAGGCTGAGTGGGGGCAGGGAGGGACAGTGAGGGACAGTGCAGGGCAGTGGGGGAGAGGGAAGGGAGAGTCCTTGGGGGTAGTGAGGGGTAGTCGGGGGCAGTGGAGGACATGAGCACTGAGGACACTGAGGGGCACTGAGGGGCAGTGAGGGGCAGTGGGGACAGTGGGGGACAGTTGGGGGACAGTGAAGGCAGTGGGGGACAGCGGGGGACAGTGGGAGACAGTGAGGGCAGAGGGGGGACAGTGGAGAACTGTAAGGGACAGTGGGGCGCAGTGAGGGATAGCTGGGGCAGTGAGGGGGCATGAGGGACATTTGGCGCTGGACAGGTCTGAAGGCAGGTGCCCTGGGCGCTCACGGAGCAGAGCCCACCGCCCCAGCTGGAGGCTGCAGACGGATCATCCAGGCTGGGCAACCGCCTGCCAGCCCGCCAGGCCCGAGGCTACTCTGAGTTGAGGGCATGGGGGAGGAGGCAGCTGAGCTGGCCAGGAGGGGCAGAAGCTCTGGGTCTAAGGTCACAGAGGTTCTTCCTTCCCTTCCGGCCACGTCACTGGCTTCCCAGCCAGCACCATCACCCGACTCCCAAGAAACACACGTGTTCCCTCACTCTCATGATTGTCCCAGCACAAATCCGGGCTGGAGCGACAGCACAGCGGGGAGGGTGTCGGCCTGGAACATGGCCCACCCGGGTTCAATTCCCGCATCCCATATGGTCTCCCGAGCACCAGCAGGAGTAATTCCTGAGTGCAGAGCAACTGCTCAGGAGTAACCCCTGAGCACCACCACGTGTGGCCCAAAACAAACAGCAAAGTAATTATTCCCAGCACAAGTGCGTGAAACATTTTCTCTGCTTGCTGAGCTCAGCCGATGAAATCCGTTTTCGCTATTCTTGGGATCTCTGACCATAGCTCCAGAGGTTAAGTTGAACACTGATACTTTTTCCTTTCTGTCCCTCCATGATCTTTATTACAATCAGCCGGAAATGGTAACCCCACTTTCCTCTTTAGAAATCAATTTGCGGGGCTGGAGCAATAGCACAATGGGTAGGGCATTTGCCTTGCACGCGGCCGACCCGGGTTCGAATCTCAGCATCCCTTAGGGTCCCCTGAGCACCGCCAGGGGTGATTCCTGAGTGCAGAGCTAGGAGTAATCCCTGAGTATCCTTGGGTGTGACCCAAAAAGCCAAAAAAAAAAAAAAAAGAAATCAATTTGCAAAGCACCTGAGACTTGTGGTGTAGGAAAGGCAGCCCTGGGGGCACGTCGTTCTCCCCAGCCACACCCACGGACACCCCATTCACTTGGATCTTGTCTCTTCCTGCACCTGAGGGTGACCAGGTAGGGGCCAGGCAGGCGCTGCTTCCTGGTCGCAGCACGGCCAGACAGGCCCACCCTGTTGTATTTGTGCCTGGCCAGATGTCACACCAGGGGCCAATCAGGGAGTAAGTCCACGTGGCACTGACCAGAATCTTAGGGGCCATTCCCAGTCCACCTGCGCCCATCCGACCCACAGTCATTCTTTCTAAACTTCCTTTTAGACTGGGGGCACCACATCCTGGGCACCCTGCGGGGCTGGGCTGTCCCCAACATGCGGTCTCCCTGGAGCCCGAACCCCTTCTCAAAGATTCACATGAAGCTTTCCCCCAAAGGTTCTGCTCTGTTCTCCCTGAGCCTGGATGTCTTTTTTTATTCCTTTTTTTTTTGGGGGGGGGTCACAATCAGCGATGCACAGGGGTTACTCCTGGCTCTGCACTCAGGAGTCACTCCTGGTGGTGTAATTTTTTTTCTACTGTGAGTGACGGAATGCCTGGTTTACTTAACACTCTTCCTCCTGCTGATTTAGGTGCCTTCTGGGTCACTCTCGGAAAGCAGCTTGTGACCAGGAATGGCTCTAAGGTGCCGACAGGGCTGGGGACTGGGGTGCCGTGTGCCCCCCCACCTGGCAGGCCCTCCCCAGGCCCCGCTGGGCGCAGCTGCAGGAAGAGCCCATGGGCCATGTCTACAGCAGCGAGACACACAGACGAGTGGACAGAGCTCTGGGGAGCAGGACGGAGGCTGGTGCGGCCCACCGGAGGCTCAGCCAGCTTGGGGACATGCGCATGTCTGGGACCCTGGCACCAGCCGATTATGTTTCTTAGCATCACTTACCTGCCTTATGAAGAAGTCGCCATGAATCAAGGAAACTATTCCAAAGTTTGTGTACTTAAAAATGTGATCCATCAGCCACATCATCTGAGCGACCGCCTGGAATATTTGAAGCAGGAAATAATCAGATATTGGATGACGAAGTAGCTCTGTGTTCCAGTCAGGTCCCATTGTCCCCGAGTGCTGCTCGGCCTCATGCTGGCCACAGGGAATGCGGTGACACGGCCCCGGGGACAAACATGCAGGCAGAAAACAGCCGAGTCCAGCCCACATGTGCCTAACACTTCTGCTGCGTTCTAAACAGTCTGCAAATCCTCAATCTGTAAGATTCTTCTGGAACTATACAATAAAGCGGTAAAACTTCTCAAAGAGGGTTGAAAGTTTAATAAGCACTAAAGCCTCATGAAGATGACTTTACCTTAGCAGCTAAAATACTACGTTACAAAATGAAATTTCAAATATCTTTTCTAAGAAAAAACAAAAAATGTCAGAAAAGATCATGAAGTTCCATTTAGTAGTTAAATAGTATAGCAGATACAGACCCAAATCCAACCCCCAGCACTCTGTCTTAGCCCCCAAGCACTCCCAGGAACGATCCTTGAACACAGCCAGGAGAAAGCCTTGAGCACCAACGGGTACCCCCCCCCCCCCCGCCCACCAAAAAAGAGAAATCCATTTAACAGAAGGGTTGGGGATGTGTTTCAGTGGTGAAGTACCGCCCCTACATGTTTGGAAGTGCGGTTTGATCCAGAGCAACACAAGCAAGCACACACACACACATACACACTCACACACATATATGCGCGTGCACACACTCTCCGTGCAGTAATAGTCTCTGCATTCCCTAAGGTTACAGACAGTATCTGTTACTCCAGGGAAGATGACAGTCTTTGTACAGAAACATTTCCTGCACATGCTTGCTTGGAAGCTACTTGGCCTGCAGCACGCAGCTGAGAGGAGGTCAGGTTTCAGGCCAATCTCAAAACTGAACACAGGTATAAACAGGGTCTCCTCAACGCGCTCCCCACCGAGGAAATCACATTCCTTCTCACAGACGAACAAGCGGCCGCTGCTGACCTCCGTGAGGATAGGTGTGCCCGGAAGCGAGGCTCTGGCTGCCTCAGAGGAGGGAAGGGGGAGCCCTTAAGCTCTCGTGGGGACAGAACACCCACCAGGGACAGAGCAGGGGCCTGCACTGTCTCAGGTCAGGTCAGTGACAGCGCTGTTTTGGCCATACGGGGCTGCTTTTAAAAGGCTTCCCCGAGCCACTAAGTTCAGAGCAAAACTTTTCGATCTCGCTCTGTACTGATAAACTGAGATCTAAGATCTATAAATTTGGGCCAGAGGTGGCCCTCTGGGCTGAGGGTGGGCTCTGCAGACAGGAAACTGGGACAGGATCCCAGCAACAGAAGGTCCCCTGATACATACACCACAGGCAACACACACACCTACACAATGCACACGCGTGCACTCACACATGCACATACATACACGTAAGTACTCACCCACATGCACACATGTACCCACACATACTCACATGCACTCATACATGCATGCGCACACACATACCCATGCATACCACACACAACGCATGCACATGCATGCACACATGCACACGTACACACATATGCACGCACATTACATCTGCTGTAAGGTACCTCAAGGCATAAAGCAATAAAGCAGATTCGCCCTCCACCCACTCCGTGCGAGCCCAGGACAAAGAGAGATGCCGGCAGCTCCGAGCCCACCTACAGCCCGTTCTCTGCTGTCCATCTCCCCGGGGCCCGTGCACACTCACTTCCCTCCGGTCCGACTCTTCCCCACGCCTGGCCTCTACCCCTGAGACAGGGACTCTATTAGTGCTAAACAAAACTGACTTCTTGTTGTTGTTGTTTGGGGGCCATACCTCGTGGTGCTTGGGACTTACTCCTGGCTCTGGGGCCATGTGTGGTGCCAGGGATCAAATCCAGATCGGCCGCACTCAAGACCAAATGCCCTCCCTGCCGCACTATTGCTCCAGCGCCTGAACGCTCTTTGAGAAGTCACTTTTCCAGAAGTGACTCCCTATAATGCCTATTCTTTTGCTTCTCAGTTTGTAATATTTCAGAACTACACAAGTCCCAGTGGAAACAGACCTACAGAGTCCGTGCCCCCCTCACCTACGCCCAGCTCCCCAGCCCCTGCTGCCCCTCCCCTCCCCCGCCCCCACTCACCTGCCCCTTGTCCTGCAAGCACATCATGAGTGTGCACACGTCCCCGGTCGCCTGGTGGTTCACGAGCATCACGGCCTCGTCCTCCGAGATGGCTCTGATATCTTCCCCCCACTCCATCACTGCAGAGAACAGAGTGGCACAGCTCTCACTAAAGGCACCCCAGCATCCCGAAGCCCCTCCAGCAGAAGGGTGGCACACTGACCATCAGGGCCTGGAACCGAGTCTGTCCTACGACCGGTGTGGGGCGGGAAGAGCTCAGGAGCCAGTGCCCTGGGGCCTGCGGGTCTCCTCCGGGCCCTCGGGCTCAGGTGCTGGTGTCGGGGAGACACAGGAAGCGGCCACACATCGCACAATAGAGCGCGGCTCAGCGGGGACACGGGCTTGGTGTGACCAGGAAGAAAGTCCTGGAGACCAGTCACACAATAGTGCGACGAGATGCCCTGGCACTGGCACTCTTGCCACGGCTAAGCAGATCCCACCCATCCAGAGCAAAAGGGAGAGCGTGTCAGGGAGCCACATGGCGCAAAGGAAGGTTCAGATTGCTTGACCACAGCGTGTGTGCCGGGAAGCATTCCGTACACAGAAGCAGAGTGGAGTCAAGAGTGACGGGTGACATCGGCAGGCTGTCCAAGGACGGAGGGTGCGGTCACTCATGGAACTGCCCGGATGGGACTGGAGCACTAGCACAGCGGGTGGGGCTTTTACTTTGCACATGGCCGACCTGGGTTTGATTCCCGGCATCCCATATGGTACCCCGAGTACCTCCAGGAGTAATTCCTGAGTGCATGAGCCAGGAGTAACTCCCGTGCATCGCCGGGTGTGACTCCCCCCACAAAAAAAAGTGAAGCCCCGATGATACATCTGCAGAGACTCTCTATCCACACGCAGTGACATGCACACACAGACACACAGGCACACACAGGCCTGCACAGAGCACATACATGCCACGGACGTGCACACGGCAAGATATGCACATAGACATAGACAAGCACACAACAACATACATACACACGGGCATGCACACAGTGACATACACACATATGGACATGCACACAGACATTCACACAGGCACACACAGGGATACACAATGACACACAGGAAAACACTGAGGTATGCACATACTGACATACACAGAAGCATGCACACAGACATACACTGACACACACATAGGCATACACACACTGACACACACACAGAAGCATGCACACAGATACACAGAGGCATGTACACACAGGCACACACACAAAGACATGCACACACAACACACACTAACACACACAAAGGCATGCTCACACTTACACAGAAAGACATGCACACACCGACATACACACACACGATTCTTCATTCACTCATGTCATCTGCATCATACATTGCGAGGCGCTGCGGCTACATAACACCTAAGAAGAAGCATCATTCCAGCAGCTTTGCAGAGGCCCAGGAATGCTGGCCGGGTTCTACGATCACTGGGCCATTAGAGGTAATGTAGAAAGTATTCTGACTCCACATCTATATAAATAGAAGCTCACGATCAAATATTCCTTTAATGGAATCTCTGATAACTGAATGGAAAGTACTAGACAGGGGCCCGTGCAGTGAGAAAGCAAATATGGGGACATAAATACAAATGAAAATGTTCCAGGGGCTGGAGCGATAGCACAGCGGGGAGGGCGTTTGCCTTGCACGCAGCCGACCCGGGTTCGATTCCCAGCATCCCATAGGGTCCCCTGAGCACCGCTAGGAGTGATTCCTGAGTGCAGAGCCAGGAGTAACCCCTGAGCCTCGCCGGGTATGACCCAAAAAGCAAAACAAAAAAAAGAAAATGTTTCACACAAAATGCATCATGTTCACCTGCATTCTCTAAGAAAGAGCCCATCAAGTGTGTGGAGTTAAATTAAAATACAGCTTGACTCAAATGCTCAGCACTGGGGGACAGTCCCAACCAAAATGCCCTCCATCCAAATTCATGGATGTGATGCACTAGACACAGGCCTCGAAGGGCCCTGGAGTGAGCGGCCAAGCAAGGGCACAGCCACTGACCGAGACCACGGGTCTCCGGGCAAGAGGAGGGCAGCGGTGCTGGGTGTCGCAGAGGCTGGTTGTGGCCCCCCGGTCTCAGTCCAGCCACTCCAACTTAGCCGACTCTACCATGAGAATAGGGTAGGAAGTTCCTCGCAGAAAGGGGTCTGCTCAGAGAGCTGAGAAACGGTGATCCCATCTCCCCAATAGTGGAGGGATGATGCTCTCCACTCCCCATGGATCTGGGAGACGGTGCTCCTCACAAAGCTGGGGGATGACACTCCCCACGGAGTCGGGGGATGGTGCTCCCCACTCCCTCCAGAGCTGGGAGATGATGCTCCCCATGGAGCTAGGGGATGGTGCTCCCCTCTCCCCACGGAGCTGGGGGATGGTGCTCCCCACTCCTCCCAGAGCTGGGAGATGATGCTCCCCACAAAGCTGGGGGATGATGCTCTCCACTCCCCATGGATCTGGGAGATGGTGCTCCCCATGAAGCTGGGGTATGATGCTCCCCACGGAGCTAGGGGATGATGCTCTCCTCTCCCCACGGAGCTGGGGGATGGTGCTCCCCTCTCCCCCCGGAGCTGGGGGATGGTGCTCCCCACTCCTCCCGGAGCTGGGAGATAATGCTCCCCACAAAGCTGGGGGATGATGCTCTCCACTCCCCATGGATCTGGGAGATGGTGCTCCCCACTCCCCATGAAGCTGGGGGATGATGCTCCCCACGGAGCTGGGGGATGGTGCTTCCCACGGTGCTGGGGGATAGTGCTCCCCACTCCCCCCAGAGTTGGGAGATGGTGCTCCCCATGGAGCTGGGGGATGATGCTCCCCACCCACACCTGCCCCACCTTCCATGGCTCCTTCCGCTCCCTCCACAGCTCTTCTCTTACCAAGTACAGAAAAGAACGCTCAGACTCTGCTTTACGCCTACAATCTTTTTGGGGGGAGGGGCAGTGCTGAAGCGCTCAGGGCGGGGGGATCTGTCACGTTTTCTTTGTGGTGTGGTGCTGGAGGACCCCACGAAGAGCCTGGGAATGTGGACCTGGGTCTTGGAGCTGGCCTGGCCCCGCCGGGCGGTTTTAAAACATTAAACACCATAACAAAGAGCTCTAAATGCCCATTTCTAAGTACTTTCAGGATATTTGACTCATTACAATTAACCCAGTACAGCTCTCAACCATGACACGACCAGAATTGGTTTCCAGTTAAATATTAATTTATGACATCTCACATAGCACTGCAGTAGCTCAAACAGTTGAGGGGGGCTGGGTGGCCTTTAGTTAAGGGTCTGCAATGCGTAGTGGGGCCACGCTCCATCTCACAATGAATTCTACACAAGAGTAAGTTCCACTCCCTGAAGCATTTTCCTTTCACCACACCATTACGTACTTCCACAAGCACCGTCAGAAGCTACGTGACTCTGAGAGAGAATCCAGGTGAGGCTACTTGCGGGAGACAGCTTCTGTCCTATGAACAGGGCCAGGCCCCTCCGTGTGTCTGAGCCGCATGATGTCAGCCAACAACCAGCCCCGGGGGGATGGGGATGGGGGGTTATAGAACAGGCACGGCGGAAACCTGCCAGTTCTTCCATCGCACTTAATTAGAAGAATAAGAATATTTTAACACAATGTTCTGTGAAATGAGGCCTCAAAAAAGAACTAGGTCAGGATCACTATTTCCAAAGGGAAGGAAGGGAAGACTGGGGCCGAGACCATGGAAAAGTCCTCTGGTTGTGACTGAATCCTGAAAACTGTTAAAAACCAAAGCCAAAAATCATCCCACACATGCGTACACACTCTCATGCACACACTTGTGTATGTACACACAGGTGTGCACACTTGTGCACACGCACACACACTCATGCACACACGATCCTCCCTCACTCATCACCTAGAGCTGACCAGGCCAGCCCAGGTCTCAGAAAGGAAACAGAAAACAGTGACTCAACCCAAATTCCCTGGGAGCTGCAGTGCCAAGAGCACTGCAGAAGCCAAGGAGGGTCAAGGCGAGAAAAGTTTCCCTGGTCACAGGAAGCTACAGGAAGGCCCACAGCTGCTGCCCAGCTGTGGTGCTGTTCTGAGACCCGCAATTTAACAAAACCACTGACCACACGCATCAGGGAAGTGACCGGCCGTGGGCAGAGACAGAAGGTGCTGTCCCAGGCTGTTGAGGTCAGACACCCAGGCGCACCCAGGGACCCCGCATTCACGCAGAAAAACATCAGCTAGGACGGGAGAGAGGCCTTGGGGAGAGGGAGGGAGGCCGTGCTGACCCAGCCGGAGCAGAACAGACACTCCTGAGAGGGAGATGCAGACACACAAAGCCACGGTGAGACCCAAATGCAAACGGCACAGATGGGTTCTTAAGTATTATTTTAAAACAGGAAGAAAACGAATCTACTTAAAAGGATCTGGTTTCCGTGTTTGAGGGGCGGGCTGGACTGCATGAGAGGCCCAGGCTCCCCACGGGCACCGCCCCACGACAAAGAAGTGTGTTTACAAACGCTAGAGTCATTTTGGTGGCTTGGGATACAGTAATGCAAAAAAAAAAAAAAATCACCCAAAGCCCATTCGCCAGGGCTAAGCAGACAGTATTCAAACTTTGTAGTGTATTTCCTAGCAATTGTTCACAAGTATAAAGCTTTTTTTTTTTTTCTTTTTGGGTAACACCTGGCGATGCTCAGGGGTTATGCCTGGCTTTGAGCTCAGGAATTACTCCTGGCGGTGCTCAGGGGACCATATGGGATGCCAGGAATCAAACCCGGGTCGGCAGCGTGCAAGGCAAACGCCCTACCCGCTGTGCTATTGCTCCAGCCCCCAGTATAAAGCTTTTTTTAAAACCAAAAAGATACTCCCCATCCTCTTCCTGTGATGATTTCAGCTTCTCACCTACAACTCCCATCACCATGGTCCTCTGTATCATGACTTCTAGCAGCTTCTCTCTGGACCTTCATTCCAGTGGACTGCTGTGGCTTTGTCAGTCCCGGTGCTGAGGACTCGCTGAAGACCCCCAAGCAGAGAATGATGGGGGTTCTGTTCTTCCTGAAACCCACATACGAACACAGGCCACCCAGAGCAGTATAAATCACCTAGAGGTGCCGGGG